CCGAGCACAACATACGCGTGGGCCACAATACACATAGTGTCTACATAACCTGCAGGACGTGCAGGAAGCATGCGTCATGGCTTCGCAGGAATCACATGACCCATGAGCCAGACTTTTCGAGGATGCACAATAGTCTGCGCTGGGATTTGCAGAATAGATGGAGGCAGCTACAAGGGTTGCCCGGCAAGGCGAAAGCTCAAAAGAAGATTTCGTGATGCCCGCCGCCGCTCTATACTTGGCGCCACATCGTGTGGCAGATTATGTTAGTCCGCATCGTTTGTCAGCTCGTTTCTTTGCACCTGGCGCCACATCGTGTGGCAGATTATGTTAGTCCGAATTGTCTTACCAGCTCGTTTTTTTACACCTGGTGCCACATCTTGTGGCAGACTACGCTAGTCCGCATTGTTCGAAGCTTCATTCAGTGTGCACAGTTTTTTTATGTGGTGACGACCACACTATTGAGACTTTATCTTGATAAGATAGCGCTATTTGAGTTTTGTCGCATAGCGATCGGACTCGCGCTGCTGTTTGCTTGAGAATTTATTTGTTTCTTGCCGGTGCGTGTAGCAGCACCCGTAAATGCCCAGAGGCAGCCGGATAGCATGCCGACAAGGCCGTTTGCCTGTGTTTGTTTTGGAGCGCTCCGATTAATGAAGTGAGCTGCGATCGGTGATCGTCGCTCGACGGCGCCGCGAGCGTCGATCAGGAGGAGTGTGATTCCCGCTCACTCCCCGTGCCCTTCTGCTCCTTCCCTGCTTTCCCGCTCTGTCCCTCATGCCCGCCTTGTCGCTGCCATTTTGTTTCGAACTAGGGCCCTTGGCCTTAGAGCTACGCAGATAGATTGAGCAGCGCTCTCTTTCGCCAAAAGATCGTCGCGCCGCGCGCGCCATCCATATCACAGTTGGAACCCTCTTGGGACGCCGCTTAGGGACCTCTTGGGGCGTCTTGAAGGCGTGTTGGGCCGTCTTGAGGCCATCGCAGGCGCTTGGGCGTGATATTTCGGCGTCTCCCGGCTCTCTTGGACCGTCTGGAGGGCTTCTCGGGCCTCTCTTGGACCGTTTGGAGCCCTCCTGGGCTCCGAGAAGGGACCTTGCCTGGAGTCTGCCGGGAGTCTGCCGGGACCTTGCCGGGAGTCTGCCGGGACCTTGCCGGGACCTTGCCGGGGTATTTTTCGTCCGGGGACCCCCAGGGCCCGCCCCGCGCGCGCGAACTAGAAATATTGTTGAGCAGTTACCGGAGATCTTAACACGCCTCTGGCCCGTTGGGCCGGCGAATTTCATTTTAGCTTAGCTTAGCTTCATCTTAGCTCAGGCGTATCTTAGCTTAGCTTACCTTCATCTTAGCTTCGCTGAGCTTTAGCATAGCACAGCATAGCATAGCATAGCGTAGCATAGCATAGCGCAGCATTCCATTAGCATGGGTGTAATTCTCTACCCAGGCTCTGCCTAGAGGGTTAGCTTAGCTTAACTTAGCCTAGCATAGCGCAGCGTTGCATTAGCATAGCAGAGCATAGCATAGCCAAGCGTAGCATATCATAGCATAGCGCAGCAAAACATAGCATATCAGAGCATAGCATAGCGCAGCTTAGCATACCATATCATAACATATCATTATTTAGCATAGCACAGCGCCGCATGACATAGCTTAGCTCAGCATCGCATAGTATAGCATAGCATAGCGCAGCATAGCATAGCATAGCATCGCATAGCGCAGCATAGCATGGCATAGCATAGCATATCATAGCATAGCAATAATGCTGTTTTCCTAGGGGCTCCAACTTCTGGGTAGGGTCGCACTGTGGTAATTTTAAAACGTGTTTCGTGTTCTCGCGATTTCGGGCTTCCGACACACCAAGAGCGCCCAAGAAGCCTCCAACGTCGCTCCAAGAGGGCCCAAGAGGCCCCCAAGAGGCCCCCAAGAGGCCCCCAAGAGGCCCCCACGACAGCCCAAGAGGGTCCCCAAACGGCCCAAGAGGTGCCTAAGACGGCCCAAGAGGGCCTCAAGACGGTCTCAAGAGGAACCGAAGAGGGGGAATGCGAACCGACAAGTCGAGCCTTCCGCACCAAGAGGCCCCCAGGAGGCTCCAAGAGGCCCCCAAGAGGCCTCCAAGATGCCCCAAGAGAGCCAAAAGAAGCCCCGAAGAAGCCCAACAGAGACCCAAACGGCCCCCCCTGAGGCTTCAAAACGGCTTCTGACACATAACCCATGCACGGCCCCCGTGGCCGCGAAACGCAGTCAAGGGGGAGTGCCCGGGGGGCGTCCAAGGTTGTCTTGGGACCCCCTTCGGGCCTCTCTCAGGGCGCTCTTGGGATCCTCTTGGATTGCCCTTTGGAGTTCTTCGCCACACCCCCCTGAGGCGCCCTTGGAATGTTCGTAGCGCGCCTTGTCCGAAATCGTCTCTGAGCGGCCCACGTTCTTCATACTCATCCACCCGATGTTGGAATCATTTGTGGGTAAGTCGTGACGTTGCATGTATGCATACGCATTTGCACGCAACTGTGAGATTTTCAAGGGCTGGAGCTTGCTAGAACCTAAGCGCGCGAAGCGCGCGCGTGTTTCTAGTAATAATTCATACGTGTTAGCTAGTTGTTTCCGCTCTCTGCGTTGCCACTTCGCGGGTAGCGTTCAACGGTATGCGTTCCGCCCCCTCTGCGTTACATGTGGGATGTAGAATGTGCGATTCGATGTTCGCCCTTCCAGCCATGAGTTGAGCAGACCAGCTCTTTGTCTGTGTTCGCCCCCTGCGGTGCCACGCGACGAGCACAGCCTACGACAAGGACATCCGACATATCTTACGAATCTTCGTCGTTGTCGGCAGCGGCGGCGGGCGGGGGTCGGCGTTGGCGTCGGCGTCGGCGGCGGCGGTGTCGGCGTCGTCGTCGTCATCGTCGTCATCGTGTTAGTTGTCGTCGACGTCGTCGGCAAGCGGAGCTGAATTTTCCGCGTTTGTTGTCCGTTCCTTCCCCTCCGCGATGCCATGAACGGACGGACATGGATGGTCGTTGCGTTCCCCCCCTGGCGTTGTCACGCAGCCAGGGCAGCACCGTGGTGTTGTTGTTCGCTTCAGTGCGTTGCCACGTGGCGAATCTCATAGAAGGGCATTTCTTCTCCCAGGTGCTGCCGCGTGACGAGCACTGCAGGATCGAAGGCTTCCGTCATTTCCTCGGGACCCCTGATGGTTTATTGGGGGCCTCTGGCGCGCGAGCGGATGGTCGCGCGGGCGGGGGGGCGGGCGGTCGCGCGGGCGGGCAAACGATCGCGCGGGCGGGCGGGCGAGCGGGCGGGCGCACATTCGCGCGGGCGCGCGGGCGAGCTGGCAGGCAGTTGAACGGGCAAGGGCGCGGGCGCAGGCGGGCGGGCGGGCGGGCGGCGGGGTTGGCAGGCGTGCGCGGGCGGGCCCGCGCCCGGGCGGGCGCGCGCGGGGGCGTTTGCGCGAGCGAGCAGTTGCGTTGTTTGGCGCGCGCGCGCGGGGGCGAGCGAACGGGCGGGAGCGCGAGCGGTTGCGCGAGCGAACGGTTACGCGCGCGGGCGGACAAGCAGGTGGGCGGGGGCGGGCATGCGGTTGCACGAGCGGGCGCGCGGGCGGGCGAGCGGGCGGTCGCTCGGGCACGCGGGCGGGCAAGCGGGCGGGCGGGCGCGCGGATGGGCGGGCAAGCGGGCGGGCGCGCGGGCAGGCCGGTATTTTGACGGTCCAGCTATGGGTTACTTCTAGGCAACGTTCCCTTGGCCGTCTTCGGCCGTTTCGCCTCCGCCTTCGTTCGTCGTCCCGTTCGCGTGCGGACTTGGGCCTGCGGACGCGGGCCAGGCGGGGTTTTTGTGGCCTTCCTGGAACGCGCCCTCGCTGCCCTCGGCAGCTTTCTTCGGGTGGAAGCGGGCCAGGCAGGGCTCCCCTGGCCGTCTTTGGACACGTCGCCCCCGCCTTCGGCCGTCGTCCCGTTCGCAGGCGGACATGGCCCTAAGCACGCGGGCCAGGCAGGGTGCCCTCAGCCGTCCTGGGGCGCGTCGCCGTTGCTGTCGGCCGCCCTCGGACGTGGCGTTGCCCTCGCAGCATGCGCCTCGTCGCCCACGGGCGGGGCATCTCCAAGGATGTTGACAAGGCATTTGGGCCCTTGCGCGTCCTTGCCCCCGCAGCATGCGCCGCGTCGCCCGCAGAGGGAAGCGCCCCTGGGGACGCGGACCATACATGGGGGCCCTTGCGCGTCCTTGCACCCGCAGCATGCGCCGCGTCGCCCATCCGATCAGGTGCCCACTGGTGTCTGGCGCGAAGTCCAGAGGAACGCGTTGATTTTGATGGTATGTTTGAGTTATTGTTTTTACTTTTGCTTTTGGTCCCGACGCCCATTCGGCAAGGACGAGGGTGGGCGAGGGTACCCTTGCGCCCCTGGGGCGCTGGCAGCCCGCGGCTCAAAACGTGCAAATGTCGGCCTCCAAAGCCCTTCCGTCCTTACCGCCCGCGTTCCTATTTTGATTTTCATTGTGTGATCTTGACCCCCAGATGGTGTCAGAGGATCGCGCCGCATCGCCGATGCATCGGCGATGTGGTTCGATGTGGAGCTCGATGTTCTCCCCGCCGACGTCGCCGATGCATCGCCAACGTCGCCGATGCATCGGTTGTGCATCGATGATGCGGCGCGATCCTCCGACCCCATCTGGGAGCCCTCTATACGAGGCCCGCCGAGAAGACGAGTTAAACCTCTATCGGCGCCGGCGTACGTTAGGCCAGGAGCCGCCGTGTCTGGCCTGGGGAGCGCTGGCGTCGTCGGGTGTGGCTCGGCCCCTCGGGCGTGGCGAGAAAAGTGCCCAGAAGGCTACCTCCCCAGACATCCGACGAGCCCCGAAAGCCCCAGAGGTCCCGACCCCTTCCCTGCAGGTCGATAAGTTTTCGCCATCCGTTTTTGATGGCCCGGAGGGCCCGAAGGCCAGAACCGAGGAGCAACGCCAGGGACAAGTCAGGTCGTTGGATTGGGGCGTCTTCCCTGGACCCCCCGCCTGCCCGAGAGGTCTCCGACGCGCTCAGGTCCCTGGGCCTCCCGCCCGGGCCGGTGCCGCCGGTGGCGGACATCAAGGCGTAGAGGGCCGGGCCCAAACGGCCGACGTGTGCCCCCTGCAGGGTTGCCCCATGCCGAGGGGCGGTCCCGGGCGGCCTCTCGCCCTCCCCGTCCTCGTCCCAGATCTCCGTGGGATCTCAGCCGTGAAATTCCGGGCGTTGTTCCTCGACTTTGGCCCAGCTCTTGGGGCCCGTTGTCGGGCCCGCAGGGCCATTCGAAACAGATCTGGGGTCGGGGCTTCCAGGGCCGCGCATGGAAAAAACACACCGTCGGATGTCTCGGCACCTGCTGAGATCTGTGAGTTGAGTCGTTTTTTTTCGCCTCGGCGTTTGCGCCATATCTCCCGGGCCCCTGGACCCTCGCGAACCGATCTGGCCCCTGAGGAACGCGGCCGAGAGGTGCAATCTGAAGCCCGAGTGGTCCCATCCCCCCGCATGGAAGGCAGGAAGGACGGCGGGCCGAGTACCATCAGTCTGGCCATCGCCAATCGAGATTTCTGTATCTTTGTCTTCCCGAAGGCTGCGTACAAGAGAGCAGCGCTAAGGTGCCACCCCGATCGGCCGCAGAACCGCGACAGGCAGGCAGAGGCCACCGCCGAGTTCCAGCGGGTGAAGCAGGCGTTCGACCTGCTGGTGCCCAGCTCAGGCGCCTGAGCTGTTCTGATCTCGGGCTCCCCGCGTTTGCGGCCCGTGAGCTCGGTGCTCACCCCGCCGAGCGCCAGCTTGGCCGCAGGCCCTTTGCAGGTGCCGGAGCAGAACAGACTCCATAAGCACAGATTTTCGGAACTCCGCGCGGATTCCTTAGGTCGGCGCTGAGCCCGCCGGGCGGAGCCAGCGGCGCCGCCCCTGGCGCGCTGCGCGCGCCAGGGAGGGAGGCCCAGCGCTGATCCACGAAATCCGTGCGGAGCTCCGAAATGTTCTGTTTACGCAGTTTGTTTGTTCCTCTAAAGGCCGGGGGGCGTCGTTCGCAACATATTGTTGCGTCGTGTTTCTAGATCGCCGCCTCCCGCCATCCCATCCTTTGTGTGTGTGCGTGTGTGTCGCCATGGTGTCGCAAAGGTACCCCAGCAAGGGTGTGCATTCCCAGAGCGTGTGCGGTGCGCTCTCCACAGGGGCAGTGTCCGAAGCGTGCGGCATGCATCGAGTGCCCTCGCTCGTCTCGCCGCATCCTGGGCCATGGCGCCTGGAGTCAGGAGACCAGCACAGCGGCATGCGGCATGCGTTTCCGGTATGACTTTGCAGACATCCTTAGCCTTAGTGTGTTCAATCTTTGTGCGCGTATTGTAGGTATCCCGCGAGCACGGTGTCCGGAAGGAGGCGCGGACAACGGCCTGCAAGTGCCAGTGTCATGTACAGTCCGCTACACTCCACGTTCCTTATGCGCATGAGCTGGCGGCTCTGCAGTCAGAGCCTTTGATCGTCCTAGGTAGCAGTGGCACGTCGGTCCAGTTCTGCGGCGGAAAAGCTCATCATTGCAATTATAGAAGACGCAGGGCCTTCTTTAAAGAATTTGGTGGGGGATGCCACCTAGTTCCTTTTCCACTTCTGTTTCTGAAGCTTTCCCCTCGATGCGCTCAGACTCGTTCGTACTCAGACGCTCATAGATAGGGAGCTCGCCAGAAAAATAATGCACATATGGGGATCTCCGTGTCGAATGATACGCTGTTGTTTCGGACGCCCCGCAGGTGTTGCCTGCGTCGCGACCCACCTTGTAACCTGCCGGCGGCCTGCCCACCTGTCACCGCGGTCACTGCGCCTGTCGCGATCACGGCCCGTCCATCACGCGCCCCGCCACCCGCCCCTCCCCCAGCAGACCTTTAAGCGACTCGTTTATGACCCGCACCCCCCCGCGATCCCACGATCCCCTGATACATAAATGTATACATTTACATACTATTTGGATACAATTAACCTCCTCGGTCATACTCACAAGTAACACGTGTGTACCCAGGATCATACAAGCAAATGGGCAGGATGTCTGTGTTTGTGTGCGGTGTGTAACGTTTATGTTGTATGTGTTGTTTGTGTGTTGTATGTTGTGTGTGTTATGTGTGAGTTGTTATGTGTGGGTCAGTTGTGTTCTGCGTGATATGTGTCTTAGGTGTGTTGTGTGTATGTTGTGTGTGCTGCTTGTGTTGGGTGTGTATGGTGTGGTGTGTGTGTGTGACCGCGGGTATGAGTGTGTGTGTTCTCTGTGTGTTTTCTGTGCGTTGTAGGTGCTGTGTGTGTTCTGTGTGTGCATGCTGGGTGTGGTGTGTTTGTTATGGTGTGTGCTTTATGTGTGTACTCTGTGTGTTTTACGTCGGGGCTCGAAATCGGATGAAGTTTTTTGGGAACCTGCAAGTGTCACAGAGTCTGTGTCAACATGATTGATTTCCATTGTTCTGTAGATACGGTCATTCTAAAATGGTTAACTGTGTTGTTTGACCGTGACTTCGCGATCATCGTGAGGGGTGCGTCCGATGTTCAGAATTTGGAGGATGCCCCGTGCGAAGCGGCCAGATTATTACGTACCAAGGAACCCCACATAATTATGTTGTGTCTTGTGTTCAGAATTGGTACGACTACTACTACCACCACTAATACACTACGATCGATCGTATGACTTCTATCGCTACGACTCGTAGTCGCAGTAGTAGTAGTAGTAGCAGTAGTAGTAGTAGTAGTAGTAGTAGTAGTAGTAATAGTAGTACGACTACTACTACGACTAACTACGACGACGGCGACTATTATTACTACTACTTCTGCGACTGCTGCTGCTACTACTACTTAGTTTTTTCTTCTGCTATTGCTATTACGACTTCACTACTTCTAATTTCTGCGCCTGCTTCCATACTATTTCTACTACTACTACTACTACTACGAATGCTAATGGTACGAGTACTACTACTACTACTATTACTACTACTACTGCTACTACTACTACTGCTACGAATATTCCCATTACTACTACTAATAATACTACTCTCAGTACTCCTACTATTACTACGACTACTACTACTACTCCGACTACTTCTTCTTCTTCTACTACTACTACTACTATTACTACTACGACTGCTGCTACTACTACTACTATGCGTGCTACTACTGCTGCTGCAACGACTACACCAACCAATACCATCACTACCACTACCGTTACTAATACTAGTATTACGAAAACTGTTATGGTGTACGGCCGCCAATGCTACAGCGACTGTTACTACTACTACTAATAATCATAATAATATTAAGACTACCGCTACTACGACTACTACTACTACTACTACTACTACGACTACGACTACTACTACTACTACTACTACTATTACTACTACTACTACTACTACCACTACTACTACTACGAATATTGCCATTACTACGACTACTACTACTACCACCACTGCCACTACTACTACTACGACTACTACTACTACGACGACTACTACTACGATTACTTGTACTACTACTACTACTACTACTACTACTACTACTACTACTACTACTACCATCCCTACTACTCCTACGGCTACTACTACCACCACGACGACTAGTACTACTGCTACTACTACTATTACGACTCCGATTGCGTATTTCGGTACTACTTATTACTGTTTCTACTATTATTACGATTACTATGTCTACGTATACGTGCTCTTATTCTACTCATACTTATACTTACTTACTCCGACTACTACTATGACTATTACTACTACGACTACTACTACTACTACTGTTACTACTACTACTACTACTACTACTACTACTACTACTGCTACTACTCATACGACCACTACTACTACTTATGCTTCTTCTGCTGCTACCACCCCATCTACATCTACGTCTACTACTACCAATACTTGTACTCCTACTACCACTACTACTACTACTACTACTACTACTACTACTGCTGCTACTACTACTACTACTACTAGTACTAGTACTAGTACTAGTACTAGTACTACTACTACCACTACTACTACTACTACTACTACTACTACTACTACTACTACTACTACGACCATTACGACCATTTCTACGACTGCTGCTACTACTACTACTACCACCACAACTACTATTCGACCCGCGATGCTCGATGATCGATGCTCGATGGTCGATGCTCGGTCAACGCTGCCTGACGCTCGATCCTCGAGCCTCGATGCTGCGATGCTCGACCTTCGATGCTCGACCCCCGAACCCCGATCCCCGATCCTCGCTCCCTGCTGCTGGCCTCGATCCCCGAACCTCGATCCGCTAACCCCGTCCCCGATCCTCGAACACTGACCCCCGAACCTCGATCCTCAAACCTCGATCCTGGGTCCTCGATCCTCGACCCCCGAACAGCGACCATCGATGCTCGAACCTGGATCCTCGATGCTCGATCCGGGGTGCTTGACCTCGGTGCTCGAACCTCGATGTTGCGATGCTCGACCACCGATGTTCGACCCACTGATCCCTGCAACCCTCCCTCTGCGAACAGCTGGTGTGCACCGTACCGCGTTGGCGTCTCCCGAGGTATGGCATGCCCCCGACCCCGGAATGGTACGGTGTGCAGTTTTCCTGCCCTTCGAGCGTAGCAGTTGTGCACCGTATCGCGCTGAAGCACGGCCTGAAGGGAGTTCAAACTGCCCACGCTTCCTACATGGATGCACGGCTTCTTTACTTTTTTACCGCGCTGAAGCAGGGCCTGAAGGGAGTTCAAACTGGTACGGTGCATGGTCGCTCCAGACATCCGACGTCGCGATTGTTTCACAACGTGGCTCCCCGGAGGTATGGACGGGTTCTGTTCGCCGGCTCCTGGGGCCGGCAAGGGCCCTGCGAGGCCGACAGAGATCAACAATCCCGGCCGCGATTTTCTCACGGCGCGAGGAGTTTGAGATTGACGTTGCGGACAAAATGCAGCATCGCGAACAATCACGACCAGAGTTATATATTCCGTGTTTGCGCGGCATTTTTCGATCCAGATCGATGCGTGAGGGTCATGGGGTCCGAAATCGCCCGTTGTGCAAAACTTGCATCGCCCAGGTCTCAGGGGTCTGCCATGGCCCGTTCCTTCCAGGACGCTTGTTTTTGGGCCATAGCTTGGCTCTCCGGCGTCCGCTCGGGACGATCCGGGCACCCACCAGAATTCCTTCGGCGAGGCGCAGCTGCCAGAGAGCACCTTGGGCCGGCGAGAACCAACGAAAGCGGTTGAAAATGTTCGAGCCTCCAGCCCCCCCCCCCCCCCGGGTCGGCAGGGCGCCTCACGCGGTTCTTGGACTGGCTCGGGTCGCTCCCCTTCCAGGGCGCCCTCGCGCTCGCGGCGGGAACGGCGGGCCCTCAGCCCGCCGCCGCGCGGGGCGGGGCTTCCCTCCTCGCTCGCCCTCCTCATCCTCGTGGCCCTCTTCCTCCTCGTCCTCATCCTCCTAACATTTTATTGTGAATTTAATGTGTCCAGACCCAACAGAATTTAGAGGCCACGGCCTCACTCACCCGGTCTGCACTAGACTCGGACGTTTGTCCGCAGCGGCGGTCGTTCGTTAGTTCGTTCGTTCCTCATCTTCGCTCCTCCGTAGTTCTCCCATGTATTGAAGGCATGACCCAAGCAAAGCACCCTGATGGCAGCAACAGTGAAGAGGCGGGTCGAGGACAGGGGTGAGAGCATGGCCATGTGCACCTTAGCAACTGTTGTACCATCGATCGTGGCCTCCAGACCAGAAACATAGCGGGCATCGAGTCGAGAGCACAATGGTTGAATATTTTGCGAGGATGTCTCAGGCGAAATGGCTGTAGGACCAAACGATCTCGGGCTTCCCGTCACCCCTCTGAGACTCCTCTGTGGCTTTTCACGTTTGTCCGAACCCTTTGGCTAAACGCGATTTGGACATCAAGACGTATGCTTCTCGCCGCCTTCGGCCTCCGTGGGACCTCGCCAGGCCCCGGGACCCTCAGAAAACGACTCAGAATGAACATCCAGTCCAGAGGAACGGCTCGAGACCTTTGGGGGTCGGTCCTCCCCAGATCTCTCCAGAGGAGCAAGATGTCATGACAATGGTACTTTTCCAGGATTTCCCAGATTTCCTATATCAGTCACTGTTCCACACGGGTTGCAGAAACGAGGCCGCAGGATACTGTCGAATTCTTGCAACGTATCTTGTGCCAATCGGCCCAGGGCACGCCCGCCCCGCTACGGCCGCCAACCGCCCCGGAGACGGAGGACGAAGATGGGAGGAGGAGGAGGAGGAGGAAGGAAATGGGAAGTGAAAAGGGTGTGGGGGGGTGGAGAAGGGAGGAAGAGGGAGGAGCCAGGAGGGAGGAGCCAGCAAGAGTGGGGGAAAGGGGTCAAAAGAGGGTGGACGAGGAGCCGAGGAGGGAGGAGCAGGAGCCAGGAGAGGGGAGAAGGGAGAAAGGAGGAGGAGGGAGGAGCCAAGAGGGGCCGGGAGCAGGGAGGAGGCAGGAGGGATGCAGGAGGGACCCCCCCGAGAGTGGGCGTGGGGCCAGCCAGGCGGGCATGCTGGCCGTGGTCGGGCCCTCCTCCTTCGCGCGCCTCTTCCTTGCGCTCTGGGGTTCGACGGTCGCGGCCCTCCTGGCCGGTGCCGCGTTCGCGCTCCTCGTGGACCTCCGCCGCCGGCTCTCTCGCGGCGCAGCGGCCGCGGTTTCTTCTGGCGTTTGCCCGGGTTTCAGACGATTTGTTTTTCCCAACCATCTTGTGGTGTTGGGTCCTCGTTTTGAAGAGACAGCGCCCTGCGTCCCTCCTCCTCTCCTCCCTCCACCTCCTCCCTCCTACTTCTGTGGCCCCATAGGGAGCTCCACCGAAGGCCCAAGTGGCAAAGTTCGCATGCGGTTCCACCCACATTCGGGCACACCCCTCACACGGTTCGTGTTCCCATAGAGAGCTCCACCGAAGGCTCCGGTGGCAAAGTTTGCATGCGCCACCCCCAGTTTGGCGCACCCTTCACACGGTTCGTGGCCCCATAGGGAGCTCCACCGAAGGTGCCAGTGGCAAAGTTCGCATTCGGTTGCACCCCAATTTTGGCACACCCTTTGCACGTTTCGTGGCCCCACGGGGAGCTCCACCGAGAACGATGCTCACAACTGCGGCACCCACAACTGCATATGGTTGGGTCCTTCGCCAGGCTACTTTCCCTGCCCCACTAGTTGAAATTGTTTGCAAACTCAGATTCAAGCCGGGCGTTTTCTTCGTGATTTCGGCCTGCGCGGCTCGTGATCGACTTGTGGGACCATCAACAACGGATCGGGGACGAACGCAAGCCCCAATGGTTGGGGTATGGAGCTCTGGGGCCGTGGACTGTACACGCACATGCCGTCTCGGATTCTCTCATGAGGAAAACCCCGCCCCCCCCCTTACATACATTCGACCCTGGGCGCTCCCATCGGGAAGAAATTCGACTTGTTGATCCCGGGGGGCCCTCCAGGCCATCCCAAGATGCCAAAGCAGGCCCAGGATCGCTTCCCGGACGGTCCTGCGGAACACCGAAACGGCACAAGACCGCTCCAGAACGCCCAAGCTGTTCTCAGGACGGCCCAAATGCCCCCAAGACGCCCCACGAGAGCCCGAAGATGGCATCCAAGAGGGCCCCAGATGCCCAAATGAATACATCATCCAAGGATGTTGATTGATTTAAACCTTATCGTTTGTTCGAGGGCCTGGAAGACGGCGCGGTTGCAACGATACTTGTCCAATACATCGTGTTGGCGGGGGTTGAAAAGGCTCTCCCACAGCACTTCGGGTAAGAAGACGTCGCAGCAGCCACCGCCAGACGATTTTGCCGACATGTTGCGCGACATCTTCGCTGGGGCAACGGAGGACGTGCCGCCGCCTTCCCTCACAGAGGCGCCGTTTACCATGCAGGAGATTGACAGGGGCATCCGGTGTTTGGGATCAAACAAAGCCCCAGACGAACGTGGCCTAGTGGCGGAAATGCTGAAGCACTCGAATGTTGAATTGAGGGAGGTATTACTTACGCTGTACAATGCTGTGCTTGCTGGCGGGGACGTTCCGGAATCATGGCACAAGACGTTCTTCATCATGTTGGCAAAGAAGACGCACGCCAAGGCAGTCGGATATTTTCGACCTATAGCGAGCATCCGTCTTCTCTACTAGTTGTTTGCATACATGTTGCTGGGGCGCGTCGAGCACGTGCTACAGTCGCAACAACCAGAGGAGCAGCACGGCTTCAGGTCTAATAGGCGTCTGGAGGAGCATCTTCTGACAGCAACTCTTGTCATTGAGAAGACTTTGTCGGCGAATGTTTCGCTCTGGATCGTGAGTTTGGACGTATCAAAAGCGTTCGACCGAGTATCTTGGGCTGCGTTGTGGGAGGCTCTGCGACAGCTCGGCGTCAGCGACCATCTGATTTGGACAATGCACCGTCTGCACCGTGACCAGGACGGGCAAGTCTTGGGCGATTGGGCCAGAAGCCAGGCATTTCCCATCAATGCTGGCGTTCGCCAAGGGTGCGTGCTCAGCCCGGTTCTTTTCACAGCTGTCTTGGAGTGGGCCATGCGTGCGTGGAGAGTTCGCTTTTTGCATCTTGGATTTGATTTGGGCGACGGCGTGAGGCCGCTCATAGACTTACGCTTTGCCGATGACATCTTATTGTTTGCCAAATCAGCGGGCGAAGCCAAATTGCAGCTGGACGCACTGGTCGACGAATTGGCCAAAGTTGGGTTGGTTCTGAATGCGGCCAAGACGGTGGCGATGACAACAGAGGCGCAAGCTCCACAAGAAATTGCCACGCGGGACGGCGCAACAATCCAAGTCCTCCCCCGGAGTACCGCCCACAAGTGGTTGGGATGCATGCTTTCCGTGGGCGGTTCTGGAACGCATAATTTGGACGCGGAGTACCACCTGGCATCCGCAAGCAAAGCTTTCTTTGCAAACAGGGACATTCTATGCGACCGGAATGTTTCTCTCGCTGCCCGGCTTGAGTTTTCCAACCGCGTCGCGACGTCAGTGGCGTGTTTCGGTGCTGGTGTCCGGAAGCCGCGCAGCGATTCACTGCGCGGGGTAGACGCTGCATTCCGGCGTCAGATGCGGCAGGTCGTTGGCCCGCCTGCAGGCGTGGACTGGTCCCAACCGCGGCATGAGACTCTGCGCGTACGGCGCGAAAAGCTCAGCCAAGCATTGGCGGAGCATGGTCTTCGCACATGGTCGAAAGAGTCCATGAAAAAAAAAAAAACATTGGGATCTGGCAGCGTACGTTGCGGGTGTACCTCCTGATCGGTGGGTGCAGAGAGCTAGTACTGGACGCCGTCGGGATCACGCTCACAGGGTCGTCCTCTTCTGTCATGGGTTGGCTCTCCCGGATGTACCACAAACGGCAACCATCGTTGCACATGGGAAAAAAAGAAAATTCAAAAATGCAACAGCAAACAAAAATATAATAAAAATATATAAAAATATCAATTATATAAACATATAATAATAACACCATAGTTGTTTCCCGACCTTCTTTGGTTGGATATTCGTTTTGAATGAGCACCGTGGTCGCCTCCTTCTCCTCCCCCCACCTCCCGCGGAAGGGGGAGGGGGAGGAGGAGGAGGAAACGGAGGAGGAAGAGGAGGAGGAGGAGGGAGGATGAGGGAGGAGAGAGGAAGGAGGAGAGAGCAGGGAGGAGGAGGCAGGATGAGGAGGCTCGCGTGCTGCCAGCACGGTTGCGTGGCGACGACGACGGCGACTGCCGCGGTGACGACGTTGACGGCGACGACGGCGACGGCGACGGCCATGGCGACGGCGAGGGCGATGACGACGACGATGTTGGAGGATCGAGGTTTGACGTTGTCTGTTTTTTGGGGATGGCCCATCTCATCGCCACGGTCGACCTCAGCTCGAAAAATAGTTTGTTCGATCGGATGTGCAGATCCGTTATGCTAATTGATTTGTGCCCTACTTGCCCCACTTGGTCCCACTTGGTCCCACTTGCCCCACTTGGGCAAGCGGGGGTCAAGTGGAACCTCCAATTTCAGGCAAGAGGGGCCAACTGGCCCCCTTAATTCTTCGAGCTTGCGCGCGAGAGGGGCAAGTGGGGCAAGTGGGACACATTTCAAGTAGCTGTGCCCGTCGAGGTCTTGCTCAGGTGCCCGCCCCCCCCCCCTGGAGCACCTATGGCCTATGGGGGCCGTGTCGCACAGGTGGCTCGCCCAAGCGGTGACGAGCATGAGGAGAAGGAGCGTTTCGCTTGAGGCACCCCCGCACATTGGTTTTGTTGCTGACGCCGTTGGGGGCATCTAGGGCAAGTGGGCCAAGTGGGGCGCACTTCAAGACGCGGTGCCCGCCCCTGTCTCGCACAGATACCCAATCCCCCGGGGGCCGTGCCACACGGCGACACCAAATGGGATAGAGTCGCGCAGGTGCCACCACCTGTGGGGGCCGACTCGTCGCACCCTCGGCGCGCCGCCGACCTGTCTGGATGAGGCTGGGGTGTCCTCATTTTCCTCCTCCTCTTCCTCCTCCTCCTCCTCCTCCTCCTCCTCTGGGGAGGGTGTTGGGGCCCTGTTCTCGTCGTCTTGGGGGCGTCCACCAGCGCAGGGGGCGGCCTCCCAGGGCCAAGTTTTGCTTATGATACCCCCCGTAGGAGCCTATGTTTTTTTTCACCTACACCCCCTGGTCAAAATGCTTCTCCTGGCGCCCAAAGTGGCTGCTGAACTTCGTTATCTCGCGCCCTGCATGGAAACTCCATTGAATGCGAATGGGCCCAAGCCAGCCTGCAAAAGAAGCCCCGCCAGCACACCTTAAAACATGCACACGCGTTGCATAAATTACGCATGTGCTTTCACGTGCCCACGGAAGGAGGAGGAAGTGTGCCTCTAGAGGGGCTTTCAATTGAGACTAGGGCCTAGGGCATCATGTCCCAGCGTGAACATCAGCCCGCCTCGAGGCTTCGGGGAACTGTCATGGGAGCTCGTTGGGTTATCTTGGGAGCTGTCTTTGGAGCTGTCTAGGGAGCTGTCTTGGGAGCTGTCTTGGGAGCTGTCTTTGGAGCTGTCTTGGAAACATCGCAAAGCTCTAGGGGTTGTCTTGGGAGCTCGTCGGGTTGTTCATGGAGGCTGCCGGGCGCAGTGGAAGCGCTGGGACGTTCAGGCGAGCGTTCGGCCTTTTCTTGCGCCGATGTTTTAGGAGTTTGGGCGATAGAAAGCTTAGGATTTGCCAGGCCCCTCCAGCTCACACATGCATCCTCGTCGTTCCCCGTGCCGCGTTGCCGATTTGGCTCCGATGTATACGCGCACGGCCGCTGGGTTCGGCCAGCGGCGATCCAGGTCCACGCGGCATCCATCCATGGGCCATGGACGAGGCTGCCTTGTACCTTGGGCTTGGTCGGTTGCCCAGTGCTGATCCGCCAGAGGATGGCGATGCGCAGGGATCTCCACGTCAGGGCGACGGAGGCCCAGGTGCATTTTGCATCGGCGCGTTGCTCGATGCCGCGAACGTCGCAGGTCAGTCTGCGAGGCGGCGGCTCGATGCATTCACTGGCGAGAGTTTCCGCGGGGCTGGTCACGTGCGGTATTTGACGAAGTGCAGGGAGGCCAGCAGGGCGCAGAGGAGGGAGCAGGAGATCGCGCAGGACTCAGAGGCCTTGAACAGCGCGTGGAACCACGAACGATTGCACATCGGTGACAAAGTTGGTGAAGCATCGGGTGTAGAAGATGGCGCGCATCCGAACACGTGGAGTTTACCAGCGGTTCTTAGTGCAGCGTGGAAGCAGCTGGGCAGCAACAAGGTCGTGCGTTTCGGCGTGGACGGCATGTCGCGGTCGCTGGGCGTCCTCACATGCGTGGCCGCGGCGATCTACGAGGAGCAGGTTGACTTCGTATCCGAGCGGGTGGAGGAGATGAAGGCCCAGAAGGTGTGTCCTGTCATTTTCAAGTTCTACGACTGCACGCCATTGCGGCTCGCGTTCGGACAGCTACAATCTCAGTTGTACCCGTGCGCCAGGTACTTGATTTGCAAAGATGGCGAATGGAAGAGCTTGAAGCTGGAAGATTATTTGAAGGAGCGGCCCCGCCACGCAGGTGCGTTACGTTCTGGCGTGGTTGAGATGCTTGCGCAGGGCGCGATGTGCTGCCACGTCGACCCAGGCTCACACGAGCTGTCTGGCTTTCGCGTGTTCTGCCGGCCCAAGATTCTCCAAGCGGGCAATGCAGATTGCATATACCGTGCCACGGAAGATGAGATTCCATCATTCTCGGCGGAGGGTCTGCAGCACTTGTGCCAGGCATGCCCGTACGTCATCTTGCACGAGGCCCCCGACGCTCACAGCGCGAACATCCGCAAGAAGGCGAAGACTAGCGAGGTGATCCCAAAGAACTGTTTGCACGTCGGTGCCAGTTGCGACGTGCATCAAGCCCATCGGATGATCGAGATGAAGGAGAAAAAAGTCATCGGAAGCCTTCATGCGATCGCTGTGTCGTGCAGCCATCCAGCTTTCCAAAACAGACTTCAAGATGCTCTCCGCAAGGTCATCGACAGACTGGAGTACACGCGCGGGGAGCCAGATGAAGCAGTCCTTCGGCGTAACCGCAAGTTGGCGAATCACACCTTGTTGCGCCGCAAGACCGCGATCCTCGATGATGCCATGGATGACGAGCGGGACTACGACATGGCCGTCGACACGTTTCTTTCGTTCTGGAATTCGGATTGGCGTTTGTGCCGAGTTGGTCACGTGTGCCGCGGGTGTTGCGCAGGTCCTGAGGATGCGAAGCATCGCATGTTCTCCGCAGCGATGTCTGTGGATTTGCTCCAGAGTAGGGATTGCGACTTGCCGAGCCTGGACGACTGGGGGTCTTGCGGTCGTGCTTGCGGTCTTACCAGCATTGGACTCTTGTGCCACAATATCCTTTCTGAATGCTTTGGCGTTGCAATGCCCGACTGGCAGTCCATGTTGCCGCCGCGGGAGGACGCCGATAACGATCAGGACGACAACAAAGTGATGGCCAGGCTCAAGGTTCGAAAGAAGGCGTGGAGATCGAAGTGCACTTTCGAGGACCCAGAGGCGAGGAGGAAGATCTTGCTTATGAATTGGATGGCAGCCCCAGTGGAGAAGCTGATGGCCAACTTGCAGTACCTCGACAGGGCGGGCAAGGGGCTCTACGACGTGTGCGTGAACAACGAGTGGAACCCTATACTGGTTTGCAAGCAGCGGTTGACCCAGCTTGTCCGGGAGGGCGCCGACGGCGACTTGGGCCCTCTCTTCGAGTCCACGCCGTTCGTAGACCACAGCGCGTTGCTGGAGCAGGTCCGTCTCCTGGGAACCGACTTGGGGGCACAGGTGATGCGGGGTCGAATGGCCCCTTCTCTGCAGACGGTCGAGCGCGGTGATTTTGTTGCCCGGGGCCCGCCGATCGGCTGATCTGTTTCTCCTCCTGCTCCCCCGCTACCTCTACTGCTTCCTCCTCCTCCCCCTCCTCCTCCTCCTCCTCGTCCTCCTCCCCCTCGTCCCCCTTGAGCCCCCGAAGTCGAACCTGTGGAGACCCATTCGAAGTTCGGCCTCTTGCGGCCTGACCCCGAGGACCTGGGCGACGGGGCGGGGGGCGAGCAGGGGGAGAGAATCGGTCGGGGAGCGGAGGGGGAGGAGGTGCAGGAGGAGGTCGATGTGAATGAGGAGGAGAAGATGGCTGAGGACGAAAGGGGTGATGAGGAGGAGAGGCAGGAGGAGAGTGACGACCTTTTCTCTGGCCACCTTCTCGCTACAGGCCACTTGGCGCTTCCTGAAGTACGACACCGACCCCTACCTCTTCGCGCGGTGGGTCCACCCAGCCGCGGACCCTGCGTGCCGAGACCAGATCCCCCAGCATTTCTTCGGCCTCAAGCCTTGCTGTCGCGACCAAGGATTTTCGGAGAAAGTCTACGAGCTGCTCGGCACTCCCGACGCCATGGTGGCCTCGGAGGACTTCAAGCTCGCGCTGCGCGCGTGGGCCATCAATTATAAGTTCACGGACATGTTCAGCGAGCGTCTGTTGGCGAAGGTGCGACAGTCTGTCGGCTACTCCGACGCCGACGTGGACGTCGAGAGAATATGTTGCAGCGGATTCCTCTCCCAGGTGATGACGGAGCATTCCCAGCGCGGCGGGGCCGACCCCCGCGCCCCTACCAGGACTCAGCTCCTGGAGGATGGAGTTCACCTCAGACGCAGGCGGGATCTGAAGAGTTCGAAGCCCAGAAGTGCCTTCGTGAACTGGATGTGCAAGCAGGAGGCGGATCGCAAGAGCAAGAAGATCAAGCTCGACAAGGAGCAATATCACACGTGGCAGTTGGAGAAGAGAAACGAATTTTTCGAGTTGTCCAGGGACAGGTTGTTGATCGAGGAAGGGGAGGCCAAGGAGGCTCACGATGCGAAGATGTCAGCAGTGGAGGAGGCCTCGGAGAGCTTCCGGGCGCTGAAACCAGCGAGTGCGATTGAGTCCATCATCGGATTGATCGGGGACGTGCGCACCCCCTACAGGGCCGCCGCGTTCGACGCCCGCATCCGTCGGAAGCTCGGCATGGCCACTGATGCCAAGGCCCCAGGCTTCACGAAGTACGTCGAGGAGTTCCGCGCCCCCCAGCGCTCGCAGATGTTTGTCGAGGGGCGCAACGCCACTGGCGACCAGGTCTTCAAGGTCAAGATGCCATGCCCACTGGTGCATCCTGGCTTTTGCGTGACCGACGACGCCGCGGTCGCCGTCGGCGCGAGGTCTTGCGCCGACCAGCTCTGCAAGATAGCTGGGGATATCGGAGGGCAGTTCATGCACTTGCGTTTCCGTGCTGGTCCTGACTGGCTGTTGAGCTCTTGGGCGGCTGTTGCACATAAGCGAGGGGCTTCGCCGAGGATCGTGATGTTGGCGGCGTGCGCCCTCAACGAGGACACCTCCACGCTGGCCATCGAGCAGAACCAGGACTTGTGCTTCGAGTACGTCCCGGGCGTCACCTTCATGGGGTGCTTCTTTAGGCAGGCCCCGCGAGACAGCGACATCGAGGTCTACTGGAGCCTCGCGCCCATTGACTTGGCGGCGCCGCTGCAGCGGTCTGCGTCTCAGGTCACGCTCCGACCTGACTGGAGAGCATTCGTCCAGGTCGGGGAGAACAAACTATATCCGCCTGAACGAGTTTTTCGGGACCCCGTTGCCGATGGCAAGAAAAAGGACATGATGTCAGGCCTGAGGTCAGCGCTCGATTTGCCGAAGCGCTGGCGAGCTGATGCTGCAGGAGTTCGGCTTCTGAAACCAGCGGGGCTTGCCGAGGGCGAGTCGACAGGGGCAGACTCGAGCGATCGCATTGCAGGCGATGGCGACGACGGAGATGGAGGCGGCGACGGGGACTTCGGAGACGGCGGCGGCGGAGCAGTGCCCGGCGGCGTGCCAGCACCAGGCGCAGGAGAGGAGCTACCTGCACCTCCGCCGCCTCCTCCAGTTGGCGGACCTGGCGGCGGGCTGCCTTGGACCCGCTGGCAGATCGCGGGCTACGGACACATCGTCTTTGATGCGGCTGGCGGGTCGCTAGGTGCGCATTGCTCTGTGCATGGCGCCCTTTGCAGAGCGAACAAAGTACTGAAGAAGAAACCTCTTGGCTTTCTTGTTGCATTTTTACAATATCCTCATTTGCACGCCGAGTGCAGGACGAAGGATGATCATTCACGTGCCAAGGCAGCGCTGATGAGCGCGGCGTGCTTCCCAGCGCGGTCCGACGGGCGGCAATGGCTCGCTGACCGCGCAGCTGCGTTCGTTGATTTGATGGACCTGGAGCGGCCACATCACCCGCCAGGTTCGTTTGATGAGCCAGACGTTGTAAAGTAGACAGTCTGGGCGGGGTCTGTGATGCATGTCTGCGTTTCTGTTGCTGGAGGTGAACATCTGCAGAGAAGTTCGATTATCAGTAATCTGTCTCGTTGCCAGAAGTGAGTGCCAGGAAACAGGGAAACGATTTGTTCTTGCAGCGTTTCTTGTTCGCTCACCTTGTCCACGTTGCCGTCGCCGTAGTCGTCATCTGAGCCTTTCGGTTAATGCCGCTGCTGGCGGCCCGCCAGCGAGCCCCCATGACCGCCCCAGGGCTACCCATGGGCCCATGGGGACTCTCAGGTGCTCCTTTGGGCGACTCATGGGGCCTCTTCGGCTCGCGCTTGGGCTACTGATGGGACTGAGGGGGCCTCTTGGGAATCATCGTAGGGCAACGTCTTGGGCATCTGGGGCGCCTCTCGGCACACTGCGGGGCTCATGCGCATTCAGATGGGTTATCTTGGGTGCGCGCTCGGGCCTGCGGGCCGATGATGGGGGCTGCTGGTCTAGGGCCCGAAACGTCGAGAGGGGCTGGCACGGCGGGGAGGTGCATGGGGGGCGCTGCAGGGGCACGCGCCGGAGCGCGATAATGGGCGGGGACGAAGAGGGAATGGGGTGGAGGTGCGGAAGAGAAGGCGGAGGGCGCGCGTCGGGGGGCGAGTTGAGCAGGTCGCGGAGGCGGAGGGAGAGCGGAGGTGGGGAGGGGGAGGGGGGAGTTGGAGGAGGAAGAGGAGGAAGAGTAGGGGAGTCTTTGGATTGCGCCCGCATCTAAGCGTGTCATGGGCGGCGTTGCCGCGCGGCTATCAGCGACCCCCCTGCTCGTTTGCCTCAGGTGGCCGTCGCGAGCTCTCTCGGCTCCAGAGACCATGTGAGCATCCAGCCATGCCTCCCACAGGTAGGGCCACATGTCAGCCTGAGTCCAAGCGTGATCGGGCGCTGGCATTCGACCAGGCGTGCGCGAACGCCTTTGGTGCGTCGCCTTCGGCGGGGCAGGCGGCGGGCTCCCAGGGCGCCGAGGGCGCGGGCGAGGGCGCGCCCGCCAGGGCGCGCAAGCGCGGCAGGTACCGCGATCAGCCGCCGAAGGTTTCGCATCAGCCCATCGCTCCAGCAGGAGAGGGCGGCGGCGGCCAGCAGCCATCGGCGGGCGCGGATGCTCTCCAGCGGCGGTCGGAGGGCGTCGGCGAAGCCCGACCTGCCTTCGCCTTGCCAGACTCTGTCGCATCCTTTGCATGCCAGAAGCCAGGGGGCGTTGAGCGGCGCACAGAGAATATCTTAGATCGTTCCGCTAGTCAGCTCAAGTGCAAGGCCGCAGTCGATAGCCTAGTCAATCGCATCATCAGGGTGGCCACTGAGTGGGGCGAGAAGACGAAGGCGCATATGGAGACCTCGCCCGACGTGGCGGAGCCAGATGCAGCGGGTGGCGCCCCCGACCCCGTCGTTGCCATGGATGGTGGCGCTCCCTCCCCAGACCTCGCCGACGCCACGGGCAGGCCAGCGGGCCGCGAGCCCGTTTCGGCGGCAGCCGTGCCTCAGGCGACGAGCAGCGGCAGCGCTAGCGCAAGCGGTGCCATCCTTCTTGCGAGGCAGTTGCCCGTCACCAGCATGTTAGCGTCCGCGCCAAGGGCGCCGCCGATGAAACGCCTGACCACGCCCATGCAGGCAGCTTGCAGCTTGCAGGCGACGATCAACAAGACCCTAAATGATGCCATCAGCGAGGCGGAGTTGGATGCGCTAGGCGGTGAGCTTTTCCCTGATGAGGCTGAGGCGGCATCGGCGCCACTTGAGGTCCCTGGTGAGGCCAGGGCGGCATCGGCGCCACTTGAGGTGTCACCTCCTGCGCCGCCGCCGCCGCGCGACGTCGTGCCCCCGGCCTCGCCGAAGGACTTCGGCGATGGAACGGCAAGCCAGCCATTGGGACAGTTCACCAGGGACTTGGGCGTGACTGGTTCTCAGTTCGGGATTGACCCAGCCATGTTTGCGCCCAGCCCTGAGCCAGGGAGGCGGCCCGCGATGTCGGTGCTGGACAGCATCTTGGCTGGCGGCGTCGGCGGCAGCGTCGCGGGCGAGGTCGCGGCGGGCGGCATCGCGTTGCCGGAGGATTGGGGGGGGCTCACCGGCGGCGGCGCTGAGGCCGACGACGGCGATCGCCATGCCGACGGCGGCCAGGCTCCCAGAGGGGCAACCGCCATCTGCCCCAGACAGGATTTTGCTTCACATTTGCAAACCACCGAGGGTTTTGTCAATTTCGAAAATATCATCAGTCATTTATTTGAATTAGGCTTTGTTTAGATAATTATTTATTTCTTAGCGTATCCGCTGATAAGTTCTGATAGTTTCGATTTGGCGTTTCCGTGTGTTTTGTTGTGTAAATAATAGACACTGATAAGTTCTGATAGTTTCGTTTTTTGTTTTAATTATTTTTAAATTATATGTTGGACATATATTTTTTAATTTCCTATGTTCGTCGTTGGTTTGCTTTTGGGGTCCCTCAGGCAAGCGCCAGCGCAGCCGCTGCTACCGACCTCGTCCAGGAGATCCCCCAGGGTGGCGCGGCCGTTCGGCAGCTGGGCCCGTGTCCGAGTTCGCCTGCGAGTTTGCCCGCATTTGTGTCTTGGAGGCCGACCACTAAGATGCAGGAGCAAATTGTCTGGTGGCACGATTGCCTCGGGCCTACGGCCGAAGTCCAATTCGTCCACGGTCTGCGCCGTTTGGAATCTGTATTGCCAGAGAAGACTATTTCGAAATGGTCCTTGTTCGCTGGGACGGGCATCTCCACGAAGATCCAGAGGGCTTTCGGCATCGTATGGATGAACCGCTATTGCGTTGCCATCCGCTTCGACGACGCCCTGTACTGCGAGCTGGACAAGGACAAGCAGGCCTTCTTGACCCAGCAGTTCGCTCCCAAGTTCTTGGTGGCTGACGCCGGGGCGCTGAACAGGCGCGTGGCTGTGAATGCCGACAAGGAGGGGGGGGCATCAGAAGTGTTGCCTTTCTGCGGCGTATTGGATGCGGGTTTCCCTTGCTCGTCTCGAACCCCGTTGAGCGTCAACAGTTCACTGAACGCAAACTGCGTCCAAGACAGGCGGGCCGCCACTGGTGAAGGTTTCGGCGCTGTGCACGACGCGGCGCAGACGCACTACCCTGCCATGATATGCTTGGAGTGCGTGGTTCAGTTATCTCAGAAGCCTGATGCAGAGAAGCCTTCAGACGCCGAGCACATCTGCCAGGAGTTGCGCAGGATTGGCTACTGGACGATCAACCAGCGCATTCAAGCCACTGACTGGGGCAGCCCACTTCCAAGGGAGAGGCTGTACTGGGCGGCGCTGTTGAACCTTGGGGGCAAGGACAGGGAGCCCGACCAGTACTTCTTGAAGATGCTGAACTCCTTCAAGACGGGCTCTCAGATGTCCTTGGAGGAGTGCTTCACTTGGTGCGACGAGATTCGCGAGGCGGAGGCGACCCAGTTGAATGTCAGGACGTACCAGAGCATGCCCGTGCGCGTCTCCAAGTCGGGTAAGACGATCCTTGATTGGAAGGTCGACCACAAGAGGCTCTTCGAGGCGAACTCATTGGCCTGGCCGCTGGACTTGACTACTACGGACGGCGGCGTGCAGTTTCTCGGTACCACTCTCATGCCTGGAGGCATGTTCCCCCGCGAAACAGAGGTGGCTTACTTGGCACACGCGCTGTTTCCACCGAAGCATCGCGATGAGTGCGCTTTCATGGACATCAATCCCAACACCACCAGGATCTTCGGTCAGTACGTTGACGAAGACACGTTCATGCTGAAGGGCACGGACCGCAAGGGTGACGACGCCGCCAATGGGCCGCGGCGCGCAGCCCCCCCGACCTTGACGGGGAGCATGCAGCTACTCGTTCGCATCACGTCCAACGGCAAGAGCACGTTGCGCTTGGCGGACGTCTTCGAGCTCATGCGCCTGATTGGCTGGTTCGATTCGGATTGGGTTTGCGACTGCAGCGAGGAGCGCCTGACGACGGACCAGATGGACGTCATCTCGAACATGTCTGGGAACGCCTTCAGCCTTTGGCATTACGGGCCATGGTGGGCAGCCATGGTGAGCACGTACGGCATGTACGCCAAGCTCTACGGCGACGACGACGAGGAGGTCGGGGGCACGGCGACTCCCGAGGGCAATCGCCTCGCCAGCGACGGGAGTGCTCTCAGTGTCTCGTCGGATTCCGATTAGACCTAGGCTGTGCCTCCGGGGGTTCCCAGGGGCGTTCGCGGCGTGCAGGCGTGAACATAGTTTTGTTGTGTAGTCGCAGACAGATCTCAGCGTCGTTTTCGCATCCCTGGTAACCAGGACATTCCGTTGGTGAGCTCTTCTTCGTTGATGATCGTTGATGCTTGGCGAGGGGGATGGGGGGCTTTGACGTGCCCCTCCACTTCGGCCCATTCGCGATTTGGGATCCCGCAAACAGCTTTAGACAAACAGTGGGAGAAGGGAGACGGAAAATGAGGATGAGGAGGGGGGAGGGAGCACCAGGGGGATTAGGATGAGGGGATTGGAGGAGGGGCAATCGTGGGGGCAGCAGCAAGTGAGCACACTGACTGAAGAACTTGCGTGCTTGCGACAACAGCTGCACAACATTTGATGAACCCTCTCGCATTCTAAAGGGGGGTCAAGGAGGGTAGGAGGGGGAGGAGGACGACGAAGCGGAGGGCCTCACAAGGCTCTCTCCGATGCATCCGTGGGTCTTTCGCAT